GGCCATAATACGTGCCAAAGGTGGCCAATTCGAACAAATCTTAACTTATTTCAAAATTTGATGCTATTTCCGACATTTTTTGCTTTCAATCAATAAAATTTAAAAAAAAAATTAAAAATTATGGCGCTGGACTTTTTTGCAGTTTTTTTTTCTCTCACCCAGTATGAAGGTGTTTTGGAGGTGTGTTCCATAATTGTACGGAAAGTACTGAATTTTACTATATTTGGTATTGAGTGAAGGAATTGGGCTGAAATCCCCTGATATGATATTAGATAACTGTTAATATCCGAAGTAATTCAGCATTAGGGTCCCTGATGGTTGTAGGTTAGTGCTAAAGAGGTGTTTTTGTAAATGTGTATTCACAAGTGCGCAAAAAGTACTAAATAGTGCCATATTTGGTACGATTTTGTATTGGGTGAACAGAAATCTGCGATTTAGTTTGAGGTTCGCATGAATGTAGCCTTGACATTTGGAAGTGTGTACTATACACTTCCACAGCCACCTTCAAATGTTGTACGAAAAGTACTAAATGGTACTAAAATTGGTATTGGGTGAAGGGATTGGGCTGGAATCCTCAAATTTCATACCTAGATATCTGTTGGTATCTGAGGTTGTGATTTGGAGCCGGTTTCGGAAATGTGAACTTTAATTGTACAAAAAGTACTAAATGGTACTAAATTTGGTATTAAGTGAAGGAATAGACCTGAAATCGAACATTTTTTTGTAAATGTCTCTGTTGGTATCTGTGGTTAAGTTTTGAAGGTGGTTTTTGGATATGTGTACTACAAGTGCACAAAACGTACTGAATAGTGCTATATTTGGTACAATTTGTTATTTGGCGAACGGGTAGCGCTTGAGCCTGGACATAAGAATGTGGTTTCGGAAATTTATATTATAATTATACGAAAAGCACTGAGTGGTACTATATTTCGTATTGAGTTAAGGGATTAGGATAAAATCCTGAAATTTGATGTTGAGGTCTTCCTTGGTATCAGGAATTGAGATATGATGCTGGTTTTGGATGTACGTAACATAATTTTACGAAAAGTACTAAATGGTACTACATTTTGCATTGGGCGAAGAGATGGAGATAAATTTCTGATATTTGAAACTTAAATAACTGTTGCTATCTAAGCTTGAAATTTGGAGGTGAATTTGGAAATACATCTTATATTTGTGCGAAAAGTACTCAATTTGGTATTGAGTAAAGGAAAAGACCTAAAATTCTTAAATTTGTATTGAGGTCTCTGTTGGTATCTAGAATTGAGATATGGAATCTCTGCTATAATTATTCAATCAGTATTAAATGGTACCGAATCAGGTATTGGGTGAAGAAATATAGCTCAAATCCGCAAACTTGATATTGAGGTCTCTATTGGTATCAGCATTTACGTATGGAGTTGGTTTTGAACATGTTTGCTATAATTGTTCGAAAAGTAATAAATAGTGCTACATTTGATATTGGGTGAAGGAATATAGACAAAAACCTCAAATTTGATATTGAGGTCTCTGTAGGTATCTTGAATTGAAATATGATCGTGGTTTTGGGTGTAGGTAATATAATTGTAGGAAAAGTACTAAATTATGGTATTGGGTGAAGGTATAGAACTGGAATTCCAAAATTGAAAATTATTTTGATCTGTTGATATCTGGAATTAAAATTTGGAGGTGGATTTAGAAATGTGAATATAGTTGTATTTAGAAAAATTACTATACTAAATTTGGTAAAGGTACGAAATGGTACTAAATTTGATATTAGGTAAAGGAATGAAGCTGAAATCCTAAAATTCGATATTTTAGTTACTGATGCTAACTACGTTAGAGATTTGGAGGTACTAAATTTGAAATTAAGTGAAGTAATAGACCTTAAATCCTCATATTTAATATTGAGGTTTCTGTTGGTATCTGAAATGGAAATATGATCGTGGCTTGGGTATAAGTAATATAATTGTGTGAAAAGTACTAAATTTTGGTATTGGGTAAAGGTATAGAGCTAGAATCCCAGAAATTTGATAATTGATCTGTTGATATCTGAAATGGAGATATGGAGGTGGTTTTAGAAAAGTGTACTTTAATTGTACAAAAAATACTAAATGTGTATTATTTTTGGTAAAAGTACGAAATGGTACGAAATTTAATATAGCTTAAGGAATAGAACTGAAATCCGGAAATTCAAAATTTAGATTACAGTATATTAGTATCTGCTTTAGAGATTTGGCGGTAGTTTGGAAATACGTTCTATTTTTGTGCTAAAAGTACTAAATGGTACTAAATTTAATGTTGGTTGAAGTAGTAGAGCTGAAATCCTGAAATTTGATATACACAGGGTGAGATAAAAACAAGTAAAAAACATTAAGTTCGGCCGGGCCAAACTTTTAATACCCTCCACCTTAAGGTAAAAGAAACATTAGGAAAAATGTGGCAAAAACCATTAAAATGCCAATTATGGGGAGGTACCGTTATATGGGGCTACACCAAAACGTGGACCTATAATTAAAATGTTTCGCCACACGAACTAGGACCCATTATGACCCACAAATACCAATTTTTAGACAAATCAGTGGAAAAATGTGACAAAAAAACTAATATACCGAATATTGGGAGGTACCTTTATATGGGGGCTATACCACAACCTGAACCTATACATGTAATGTTTTGCCACACGCTCAGGGATCCGATATGACCTACAAATACCAATTTTCAGACAAATCCGTGAAAAAAATGTGGCATAAATCATCAAAATATCGGGAGGTACCGTTATATGGGGACTATACCAGAACGTGGACCTATATATCTCAATTTCAATACCAACCATCCTAGAAACAAAGCAAATAGCTCTGCTAAAATTTGTCGCTCTACGTCAAATAATGTGGGCTGTATCGTGATTTCAACAGACAGACAGACAGACGGACGGACGGACAGACAGACGGACATCGTTAAATCGACTTAGAATTTCATTCTGATTATGAATATATATACTTTATGGGGTCTAAGACGAATATTTAAAGATGTTACAAACGGAACAAAGTTAATATACCCTCCTTTCCAAGGTGGAGGGTATAACAACTGTGAGAAAGTCAAACGCCATAATTTTTACATTTTTTTAATTTTATTGAAAGAAAACAAAAAATGTCGGATATAGAATAAAATTTTAGAATAAGTCTATATTTGTTCGAATTTGTCACCTTTGGCACGAATTATGGCCTTCAAACGGCAAATGAAACCGTCACACGCTGCCCGAATGTTGCTCTGTGGTATTTTGACCCATTCCCGGAGAAGCGCTTGCTTGAGGTGATCGACACTTATTTATGTGCCAACCTTACTCCCCAAAATACTTCAATAATCCAAGGGATAGGTATCCGGAGATTTTGGTGGCCATTGCAAGCTGAAAATGAAGCGAGGAACCTCATTTTGTAACAATTTTTAGGTGGCGCGTGCTGAGTGCGATGGTGTCAAAGGTCTGTGGCCAAAATGTTTGCGTGCCCAAGGCCCTCCAGAATATTTTTGCGATAATATTCGGCATTTATTCTGATGGCACGGTCGATTAATAGGAGCGGAGAGCGACCATCGGCTGCTATGACGGCCCATCCCACCACCATGGCCGGCGCTTGAGTTCTGGTGGCCATCCGAAGGTGCACATTTTCAGCTGACCTCTTTGTCAAGTAAACACGATCGATCACTTTGTTTATTTACAACCTGCTCTGCTGGACAACGAATGTTTTCTCATCGGAGAAAACCAAATTCGACAGATCACCACTTTCGTCCCAGCGAAGCAACTCTTTAGCTCTTTTGGGTCTATTTTCTTCCTGTTGCGGTGTAAGTTCTTTCATTTTTTGGAATTGCAATGGCTTTACCTTGAGCTCATTTTTCAATATTTGCCGAATGGAATATTGCAACATGTTCAGCTCACGAACCATTTTTCGGCCACTGCGACGCGGGTTTCGATCAAGTCGCCTCTTTACTTTTCGAACCATTTATGCTGATGTTGCTGTTTTCTTCCGTCCACTTCTTTGACGTCGGGCTACTGGTAACGAGCGATGGTACGAGACACAAACGATTTATTCACATTTAAATGCTGGAGTGCTCTAACGATAGCCACTTGTTGTTTTCCTGCCAAATATAAATAAATCACACTATCACGCTTGAATTCCATCACGAATAACTTTTTTTCTGGAAAATTCTCACCAAAATGCTTTTGTATGCTTGGAAACAATATAATGAGCTGTCAGTGGAATAATTTTAACAGCTGTCGGACGAGTGGCTTAGAAATGACAACAGTCTGAAGTTGGTTGCAGTTTTTTCATATCACCCTGTAAATTATCCATTTTTAATACTAAAAGGTCTTCCTTTTCTAAAATTTTAGGGTGGACTTTTCGCTGACAAAGTAGAAAGAACTTTTCTAAGTTATTTATAACTTTATCAATTTTTATTTAATTATTTATTCATTAGTTATTTATAACATATTTTCACCCCAACAACAATTGTATCTCTTTCCATCTTCAAATAAAAAATAATCCCCGTAAACATGCCCTTATTTGCACGAATTATGTCTAAACATATGACAAATTTTCGAGCATATTTACCTCCACAGACACAGGAAATTGGTTTAGCGAAAAGCACTTATCCAATGAAACGATTTAGCAGCTGACTATAATTCGGTAAAAAAAAACCCTCAACTTTTTTTTGGGTTATAGCTATCTCCGGCCATAGCTATTTATCGATATTATTGTTTATCTACAAAAAACAATGTATATTGAAATATTCCCCCATACCGGCTTATCTGCAAAATTTCGTTATTCAGCTTTTCCCCCCACCCCTTTCGGTCAGTGGTTCATTTCACACCCCACCTGATATTTTTTTTTTGTTTTTCATTGACTCGATGTGGAATCAAACCAAATAGCACTCATTCCCCCATATGTTGCGTTTCGAGCAGAGCCTTGAGAGTCGCGATTCCATGGATGCTATCGGGCCAAATGCAAGAATTGATAAAAGGCCATGTTAACAAACATTTAATTGTTAGTAACAATTTATAAGTGCTGGCACAACGATCGACTGATATTGTTTTTATTTCTCGGCAAAGCCATTTCGTAGCGCGGTAAAAGAATTCGAAACGGAGAAATAGATTTTGGTCGTGTCGCACTAACCAACCATCCACTCACCCATCCACCCACAAGACGTTAAACGGTTTAAGGCTGAGTGAAAATGAAATTTTTGGCGGTGCTATTTTTTGTGGCAATTTTTGCCAACAGCAAAGGTGAAAAATTAAATTAAAAAAAATAAAAACATATGGAAATTAAGACAAAATATATATGACTAAATGCAATGTGAAATTGAAAATGAATTGGATTATAGAAAAATTAAAAAAATTTTTTTTTTTTTTCAAAAAATAAGAAAAGTGAAAAATTTTTAAAATAAAATTAAACTGAAAACCAAAATAATTAAAATATCGAAAAAATTAATAAAAAATATCCAACGAAATGATTTCTTCGTAGATTTATTAAAAACAATATTTTTATAAAAAATAAACAATAAAAAAAATATATAAATAATAAAAAAAAATAAATAATAAAAAGAAATAAATAATAAAAAAAATAAAAATAAATAATAAAAACAATAAAAATAATAATCAAAAAGTGTCAATAAAAAACTACCTTATGTTATGGAAAAATAAGTAAATAAGTATGTTCGGCCGGGCCGAACTTTGAATACCCTCCATCGAATTTGGCTAATTTTCAAAAAAAAAAAAAAAACAAAAAATTCATTAAAAATTCTGTTAAAATTTAGAAAATACCGCATTTAGCCGTTATAATAGGGTCTATAGAACCCCGTGGACCTGCATAGGCAACTTTTGTCACAAGCCATTACAATATTCAAATGCGAAACTTGAAAAAAAATCCGTGAATAATGTACCTAAAAATCATCAAAATACCGAACATGGGGGTTATACGAAGGCGTGGGCCTGCACAGACAATTTTCTGTCATAGGATGTAGTATCCATTACGAACTTCAAATACCAAATTTGAAACAATTCCGGTGAATAATGTCGCTAAAATAATCCACATACCGAATATCGGAAGATACCATTGTATGGGGGCCATGCAAAAACGTGGTCCTTTACATACAATGCTTCGCCACCGGAGCTAGAACCCATTACGACCTACAAATACCAATTTTTAGGCAAATCCGTGGAAAACTGTGGCAAAACTCAACGAAATACCGAATTTCGGAAGATGCCGCTATATGGGGGCTATATGAAGACGTGGACCTGCACAGCCAATTTTCTGTCATAGGCTGTAGTATTCATTACGAACTTCAAATAGCAAATTTAAAAAAATTCCGGTGAATAATGTCGCTTAAATCATCAACATACCGAATATCGGAAGGTGGGGGGCTATACGAACACATGAACCTGACGAGATCATTTTCTGTCTTAGACAGTAGTATCCATTACGAACTTCAAATACCAAATTTAAAAGATTTCCGGTGAATAATGTCGCTTAAATCACCAAAATATCGAAATTAGGGAGCTAGTATTATATGAGGGCTATACGAAGACGTGGGCCTGAACGGACAATTTTCTGTCATAGCCTGTAGTACGCATTACGAATTTCAAGTACAAAATTTGAAACAATTTCGATAAATAATGACGCTAAAATCATCAAACTAACGAAAATATCGGAAGGTACCGTTATATGGTGGCTATACGAAGACGTGGACCTGCACAGACAATTTTCTGTCATATGCTGTAGTATTCATTACAAACTTCAAATACCAAATTTGAAACAAGTCCGGTAAATAATGTCGCTAAAATCATCAAAATACCGAATATCGGGAGGTACCGTTATATGGGGGCTATACCAAAACGTAGACGTACATGGTCCATTTTCAATACCAAAAGTCCTGCAAACATAATATACATTTGAGTAAAATTTTATCAACCTACTTCATTTCGTTCGGAAGCTAGAGTGATTTCCACAGACGGGCATCTCTAAATCGGACATCTCTAAATCGACATGGAATTTTATGCAGATCAAGAATATATATACTTTGTGGGGTCTAAAATGTATATTTCGAGGTGTTACAACCGGAATGACAAATGGTGGAAGATATAAAAATCGTTCAAAAATCCGAAGCCCTTTAAAAATATTCCTTCGTAATTCAGGTTGCCAATAGTCTTTAAAAATATTTCCGTTATTAACTTTGTTGCTGATGGATTTTAGATATTTAAAAAAAATCTAGTTACCAATTGTTTGAAAATTATTATTTTTTTAAATCCACGTTGATAACACTGTGCGACAAATTTCAATTTTTTTCAAATAATTACAAAAAACGAGCAGATTATGAATGTAGGATTTTGGAAAATTTATATTTTTTAAAATATCAATTTGCCAAGGATTTGACAATTATTTTTTTTTTTAATCCACGTTGATAACACTGTGCGACAAACTTCAAATTTGCAATAATTACAGGGCCAAATTCAGCTGATTACGAAAGTGGGATTTTGGAAAATATTAAAAAAAAAACACAATTTGCCACGGATTTGGGAATTATTATATTTCTTTACACTGTGCGACAATCTTCCAATTTTCAATAATTAAAGGGCGATATTCAGCCGATTAGAAAGTAGAGCTAAAAATATAACCCAAATAGAGCTGGCGTAAGTTCCACCCTCTTCGACATTTTTTGGAAATTTTCGGAATAAGATTCTGTGGAACCCGTTGATTTTTGATATATAGTGTCTTCGGCAATATTACAGCTAATAACACGAGGATTATTTTGGCTAGCAGATTTACCCCTCAAGTGAGTCATAAATGGGGTCTTTTTGGTTCTTCTTTCAAAACATTATCAAAAACTCACTCTAAACGGGGTCGTAACAACCTAAAATACCCTACAAAATTATTCGCCACAAAATTCTACTACAGGCTCCAGAAGATATCAAGAGCCTAAATCTTACCTAAACGCCAGGAATACGTATATATTCGAAATACATATTAAGGATAAAGCCGTACTTTATGTGAGTTTCTGTAAAAATCACCAACAAAGCATTATTTTAGAGGGGTGATATCAAAGACAAAAATGTTCCTCGTCAAATTTCACTATAAGTCACCTCGGAACAGAAATCTCTATTTCCATTCTATATAAAAAAAAAAAATATTTTCATCAATGTGCCAAAAAAAAAAAAACAGAAAAAATATCTTAATTTTCTTTGATAATTCTTTACTCGCTCTTTTTTCGATTTGACGCCTAAAAGTAACATAAAAATTCATTCTACGCGGAAAGTATTAAAAGAAGAAATATTCTACACAGCATTTTACTATAAGTCTCGGAATAAACATTATATGTATGAACAATAGTTTTTATGAAAATTACATTCGTAATTAATATACTACAAGTGAAAATCATATGTTTGATTTGTTTTTCCGTTAATTTAAAACATTTACAAATCTCTCTTTACTCTTCATTTTTTTGTAAAAACTGTCAGAGGTAGAAATGTTCTACATCAAATTTCATTCTAAACCATCAAAGAAAAGAGATCTCTATTTCCACTGTACAGGGTGACATAAAACTAGTAAAGAAAGTCCTAAAGTCGGGCGGGGCCGATTTTATGATACCCTACACCACTTTGCTAATTTAGTTGAGCTCCACATAACTATTAAAAGTTTTTATGGGAGAATTCAATCATACACCCTATGATTATAATTATAATTTAAAATTCAAAGGACTAAATATGCCGAAGCATTTGTATCTTTTAAATTCGGACTTGTATCACCCATTTGGTGCGAGATTAATTTGAAATCTGATAAAGATATATATGGGAACTAAACCGATCTCGATAAAATTTGGCAAAGATATTTTTGAGCTGTATTTGATATATTTCCCTGAATATCGTTGTCACGGAGTGCATATTACGGCTGTAGGTAACAAATACAACAAATCGGATGAACAATATATATGGGAGCTATAGCTATATCTGAACCGATCTTCACCAAATTTGGCATACTACCTTCTAGACTAAATTCGGCAGTATGTGCCAAATGCCATCCCATTTGGGCAAATATTAGACGTTTGGTGCACAATAAAGGGTAAATCGGACGAAGTTATATATGGGAGCTATACCCAAATCTGAACCGATCTCGATAAAATTTAGCAAAGGTATTTCTGAGCTGCATTTGATATATTTTCCTAAATATTGTTGTTACAGAGTGCATATTACGGCTGCGGAGGACAAAAATAACAAATTGGATGAACAATATATATGGGGGCTATAGCTATATCTGAACCGTTTTGGATCAAATTTGGCATACTTATTTTCAGGCCTAATTTGGTTGTATGTGCAAAATTTCATACTATTCGGGCTGATATTACACGTTTGGTGCACAATAAAAGGCAAATCGGACGAAGATATATATGGGAGCTATATCTAAATTTTTACCGATTATCTCCAATTTCAATAGGGTTCGTCATTGGGCCAAACAAATGTTGTTTGCAAAGTTTCATTTCAATCGGATAATAAATGCGACCTGGATTTTGTTCACAAGAATACATGGACAGACGGACGGACGGACGGACAGACAGACGGACTGACATGCATAAATCAACTTAGAAAGTGATTCTATGCAGATCAACAAAAGGAACTATGGGTCTATCTCGTTTCCTTTTACCTGTTACAAACAAATACACAAAGACATAATACCCAGACCACCTTGTGGTGTAGGGTATAAAAATGCAACGAAGCCAAATGCTATAATTGTCGGGAATATAATCAAATTTTAGAATAAGTTCAGATTTGTTCTAATTAGTCACCTTTGGCATGAATTATGGTCTTCAAACAGCCAATGAAACCGTCACACGCTGCCCGAATGTTGCTCTGCGGTATTTTGGCCCATTCCCGACGAAGCGACTGCTTGAGGTGATCGAAACGTTGGTATTTTTAGCGCCAACTTTGCTTTCCAAAATACTCCAGAAACAATAGTACAACGGATTGGTATCCGGGGATTTCGGTATTTTTAAATATAAACAGAATTTTTTAAGGATTTTATTTTTTGAAAATTTTCAAATTTATTCCAAATGGTGGAGGAGGGTATTCAAAGTTCGGCCCGGCCGAACTTACAGTTTTTTTTTTTTTTGTGATTTTGATGCCAATATATTCTTGTTATGTAATAGAAATAGAGATATCTTTTCTGCGGTGTCTCATAGTGAAATTTGATGAGGAATAATATTGTCTCTGACGTCATTCTTCTAACATGTTGCATTGTTGGAGATTTTTGCATAAACTCACACAAAGTACGGATTTGACCCTAATATGTGTTTTTAATATATACGAAATCCTGCGTTCATAATCTGTGGGGTTTCCTGTAATTATTATTTTTATTGCTTAGTGTTATAAATCTGAAAGTTTTCAAAAAAATCAAAAAATCCACATTTATAGACCTTGAAAAGAATATGTGTCAAAAGATCCCCTTTGTTATTTGGTGCAATATCATTTGACCTCCATATGCAGCCCACAATTCTCCGTTATCAACAGTCATTGGATAATTTTCATGATAACAACGAACCTGGGAATGGAGGCAGCCACTCATTTCCGTTACGAAATCTGTAATATCGGTTGGGATGGCGTTGTTAGAAATCGTTCGAAGCAATCGTTCTTGTCTTAATGACAATGTCTTCTAAAAATATTTTCTAATTATTTTGTTTCTTTTCTTCTTTTCTCTTCCTCCTCCTCCTCCTGCTCCCCCCATTCCTTCTTATCAAATCGAAACATAAAATCACATTAATTACCAGTTGTTGGCGAGTCATTGCATTGCTACACCTGTGACGGAGATGATTGCAACAGTTTGGATACAATGGAACCTGAATTATGCTACGATAGCGGTGAAGATTCGACTCCGACACCAACAACAACATTGGAGCCAACAACCGAAAAACCAGAGGAAACATCAACGCCGGCGGGTACAGACAGCACCACACAAACTCCCGGGGAAACGACAACGACAGTAGGTTCAGAAACCACAACTCAAGTTCCGGGGGAAACAACAACGCCAGCGGGTACAGAAACTACAACGACGTCAGCTGGTACAGAAACCACAACTCAAGCTCCGGGAGAAACCACAACTCAAGGTCCCGGAGAAACATCAACGCCGGCGGGTACGGAAAGTACAACTCAAGGTCCAGGAGAGACGACCACCACATCCACTTCAGAATCCACAACTCAGGGTCCAGGAGAGACGACCACCACATCCACTTCAGAATCCACAACTCAAGCTCCAGGAGAAACCATCACCCCACCCGGTTCAGAAACCACAACCCAAACTTCCGGAGAAACATCAACACCAGGAGCTCAAGAAACTTCAACTAAATCAACTGAAGAAACCACAACGACGCCACCAGATACCGAAACCACAAAGCCTACAGAAACCACAACTCTAACAACCGAGGGAACATCACCCAGTTCAACAACTCCAGAAACCACAACTCCAGCACCCGAAGCAACGTCACCCAGTTCAACAGCTCCAGAAACAACAACAACAACTCTTGGTACTGAAGACACAGGTACCACAACGAAACCATCAGAAGCTCCTGGAACGACAGAAAAACCTATTGAGACCACACAACCTGCAAACGCCCCAGAAACTACAGTCAAAGCGCCAGAAGAACCAGCTCAGACTAAAACTCAATCAGGCGCAGCAATTTTGCTTAGAAATTACCGGGCACTTTCGCGCAGCCGACGTATGACGGCACCAGATGGTACCGGATACGCTTGCTACACTGTGGAATATAAAGGTAAGAGGATATTAACTGTTTAAGCACATCTTCGAATCGTAGACTAAATGGCCTCAGAAGGCACATCAGTAGAGTAGATGGCCTACGAGATCAATAAGATAATCTTCATAGGTCATCTACAGTAGAGTAAATGGCCTCAGAGATCATCTACAGTAGAGTAGATAGCCTCAGAGGTCATCTACAGTAGAGTAGTTGGCCTCAGATGTCATCTACAGTAAAGTAGATGACCTTAGAGGTCATCTACAGTAGAGTAGATGACCTCAGAGGTCATCTACAGTAGACTAGATGGCCTCATAGGTCATCTACAGTAGAGTAGATGGCCTCAGAGGTCATCTACAGTAAGGTAAGATGGCCTTAGAGGTCATCTACAGTAGAGTAGATGGCCTCAGAGGTCATCTACAGTAGAGTAGATGGCCTCAGAGGTCATCTACAGTAGAGTAGATGGCCTCAGAGGTCATCTACAGTAGAGTAGATGGCCTCAGAGGTCATCCACAGTAGAGTAGATGGCCTCGGAGGTCATCTACAGTAGAGTAGATGGCCTCGGAGGTCATCTACAGTAGAGTAGATGGCCTCGGAGGTCATCTAGGGTAGGGTAGATGGCCTCGGAGGTCATCTAGGGTAGAGTAGATGGCCTCAGAGGTCATCTACAGTAGAGTAGATGGCCTCAGAGGTCATCTACAGTAGAGTAGATGGGCTCAGAGGTCATCTACAGTAGAGTAGATGGCCTCGGAGGTCATCTAGGGTAGAGTAGATTTACATTTTACATTTATCGGAAATAGCATCAAATTTTTAGAATAAGTTTAGATTTGTTCGAATTGGTCACCTTTGGCACGAATTATGGCCTTCAAACGGCCAATGAAACCGACACACGCTGCCCGAATGTTGCTCTGCGCTATTTTGGGCCCATTCCCGGCGAAGCGCTTGCTTGAGGTGATCGAAACTTTGATATTTTTTAGTGTCAACCTTGCTTTCCTAAATACTCCAGACACAATACTCCAACGGATTTGCATCCGGAGATTTTTGGGTGGCCATTGTGCGCTGGAAATGAAGCGAGGAACCTTTCTTAGGTGGCGCGTGCAGAGTGCGATGGTGCTGAGTCCTGTTGGAATGTCCAAGATCTGCGGCCAAAATGTTTGCATGCCCAAGGCTTTAATACACCCTCCTCTCTGCACCCTCCAGAATATTTTCGCGATAATATTCGGCATTTATTCTAATGCCACGGTCGATCAATACGAGCGGAGAGCGACCATCAGCATTTATGGCGGCCCACACCATCACCATGGCCGGCGCTTGAGTTGCACACGTGAGGTGCACATTTCAGGCTGACCTCTTTGGCAAGTAAACACGAGCATTTTCTTCGTTTACAAACTGCTGGGCAACGAATGTTTTCTCATCGGAGAAAACCTAATTCGGAGATCACCACTTTCGGCCAAGCGAAGCAACTCTTTAGCTCTTTTGAGTCTATTTTCTTTCAGTTGCGGCGTAAGTTCTTGCACTTTTTCGAATTTCAATGGCTTTACCCCGAGCTCGGGTCATTTTTCAATATTTGCTGAATGGAATATTGTGATATGTTTAGCTCACGAGCCATTTTTCGGCCATTGTGACGCGGGTTTCGATCAAGTCGCTTCTTTACTTTTCGAACCATTTCTGCTGATGTTGCTATTTTCTTCCGCTCACTTCCTTGACTTCGGGCTACGCTACCATTATCACGTTAAAGAGCGATGGTACGAGACACAAAAGATTTATTCACATTTAAATGATGGAGTGCTCTAACGATAGTCACTTGTGGTTGTCCAGCCGAATATAAAGAAATCGCACTGTCACGCTTAAATTCCATTACGAATAACTTTTTTTCTGGACAATTCTCACAAAAATACTTTTGTACGCTTGTAGACAATATAATGAGCTTTCACTGGAATAATTTTAATAGCTGTCGGACGAGTGGCTTAGACATGACAGCAGTCTGAAGTTGGTTGCAGTTATTTCATTTCACCCAGCATATAATTCTGTATCCCTTAATCCTGTATCCCTCAATCCTGTATCCCTCAATTAATTTTGTAATTTTTTTCTCTTACTTTTTACAGAAGGCGACTCTGCACCCAAAAAGAAGAAGGGCTGCGTCAAAATCCCCGTCGACCAGGGAGCCTGTGATGCCATAAAGAGCAACGCTGGCGATGGCGTCGAAATCGAAAGTTGCCAAATTTGCATGAGCGACAAATGCAACTCCAGCGCCTCTATTCAGCTATCCATTGTTGCCATGGTCCTTGTCATGGTACTGCGACAAATTCTGATGTGAACTCCATGAGAATGAATATAGTTTGTATGAATTGCCATTCCGCCGAATGTGCCGAATGTTTGTTTGTAAATATATATGTTTAACCAAATCTGTGTGTAGAAATGTAAGAAAGACGAGAAAGAATTAAAAAAAGGATAATTTTAGAAGAAAGCGTTTTTTATTCATTTAATTTTTCTGGCTAACGGAAGAGGTAACAATATCGTCGACCCCCACCCACTTAGAAGTCATAGCTCTTAAATAACAGTGACCTGCGTATAAACCTACCACAAGTTTTAGGTCAGATTTCGTCATCTCCTTTTTGAGATCAACGCCCAATTTTTCATGGAGGCATTACAGCCTCTTCATTGACAATGGTGGCTTTGCCGAGCTCTCAATCTATAGATCAACTGACTTAGAACCACGCCTTGCCACGATCACCTCAAGCAAGCCCTTCGCCGGTAATGGGCCAAAATACCGTAGAGCAACATTCGGGCAGCGTGTAACGTTTTCATTGCCCGTTTGAAGGCCATAATTCGTGCCAAAGGTGACCAATTCGAACAAATCTAAACTTATTCCAAAATTTGATGCTATTTCCGACATTTTTTGCTTTCATTCAAAAAAATAAATAATAAAAATTAGGGCGTTTAAATTTGTTGCAGAATTTTTATCACACCCTGTAAATAGCCAACGTTCCGCTCATTGATTCTATTTTTCAGCAATTCTATGGCAAAGACCTCTACCTAGATACGTCACACTCGTTATTTAGTTTGCAGTGAATCCGGATATTCAGGCTTTTGCAGAAGGCCCATGCGCCCATTCCACTTTCCATCTTGGAACCACCGGTATAGACGACTATACCACTTAAAGATGAACTGATCCGGGTCCAGATGTCCATGCTGGGTGTATGGATGTCCAGTAATACGAAGTTTAGTCTAAATAATATATAGTCAATGGCTATAACCCGACCTCCACATACTTGAAAATGACTGGGTGTCCAAATGAATGATTGAGTCTCATCCTACAAATAGACTTAAGGATTCCAAGTTCAGTGGGGTGTCCAGTGCAGATTGGGGTGTGTTCCTGAAGCACCTGTAATTAGAAAAACTGCTGCTCTTTGGTCTTTGTCAATGTTTTTGTTGCAAGAAGCTTTTCCTGGAAAGTGTCTGAAAAATAACCCTCCATAGCTCCGAATCGTGCGGACAATTGACCCATATAACCATTTAATGATATGCGGCTTAAGCCCCCAACTCTTTGCTAAGGAATTTTTGCAAGAGTAGAGTGCGCGCTTCTCGATATTCCTCTTCCAGTTTAGTCGTTGGTACCGAAATACTTGGCTTCCGAGAAAAAAACTAAATGCGACTCCATCCAGCAAGGGTGGCGAGAACTCTAGGAGTTTCCGCTTCCTCGTGAAGAGAACGAGCTCAGTTTTAGATGGGTTCACGCAAAACGCATTGCCGCGTGCCATCTTTTCACAAGAGCTCCCTGCATTAGGTCTGAAATAATTTGCAGGAATTTTCCAGCAATCAGCAGAACCACGTTGTTAGCGCAGGCCACAACTTTAGTTCTGTTTAGTTCCAGATCATTTAATATATCATTCATCACCAGAGTAGTGGTGACCGATTTTCTGACGGAGCACTCCCCGATGCTTCAATTGACTATTCCACTACTGAAAATAACATCACTTCACTCAACGAGGAGTAGGAGGGGTGGTATACCCAGTTTTGTGAGAGAATTATGAATTACCTCAAGCGTGACATTATTGAAGACATCCTCGATGTCGAGGAAGGCTGCTAAGGTGAAATATTAGCTATTCAGGTTCTTCCCTATGTAACCTACGACAACCATCCCAAGGAAGATGAAGTTCAAGCTCTTGTTTCATGATATACCGTTTACTCCTCAGCCTAGGACCAGAGCTATGTTTAATTCTGCCTTCGTGGGGAATAGAAGAAGTAAGGCAGTAGGCGCTTTGCAGTGATGCAGATTAATCTGAATGATGTTAAGTAGCTGCTGCTTCATTCCTCCTACTGCAGCGGCGTTAGACGGAATCGAAACCATCCTGTGTCGAAGTGCAGGATTATCTACACGCGTGACTGAAGATAATTCTGGCCAGCGGAATCGATAGATACCTTGATGACCAGGCGCTACCCTCCGTACTTGAACAGACTAGTCGTCGTTTGTCTCTATGAAGGTTGCGACAATGTATAGCAATTCCTACCTCTGACCTACTAAGTGATAGAAGGGAGGTCAGTGGGTCTATGATATTAACTTTGTCATTCCGTTTGTAACTCCTCGAAATACTCATGTCAGATGTACGTCCGTCTGTTTGTGTAATCACGCTTACTTTCGAACGAATTGAGATAAAAAATCTAAAATTTTGCACACATGTTTATTTTTTCAGTTCGCAGGTTAAGTTCATAAATGGGCTATGTAGGTCCACGTTTTCATATAGCCCCCATATAACGGTACCTCCCGATATTCGGTATTTTGAAGATTTTAGCGACATTATTCACCGGAATTGTTTCAAATTTGGTATTTGATGTTCGTAATGGGAACTACAGTCTGTTGCAGAAAATTGTCTATGCAAGTCCAATTCTTCGTATAGGCCCCATATATCAGTACCTCCCGATATTCGGTATTTTGACGAGTTTAGATAGAAAACCAACCGAAATTGTTTGAGATGTCGTATTTAAACTTCGTAATGAATGCTACAACTTAAGACAGAAAATTATCTGTACAGGTCCACGTCTTCGTGTAGCCCTCATATAACGGTACCTCCCGATATTCGGTATTTTGATGATTTTAGCGACATTATTCAGCGGACTTGTTTCAAATTTGGTATTTGAAGTTCTTAATGGGAACTACAGTCTGCGACAATTAATTGTCTATGCAATTTTGACGATTTTAGGTACAATACCCACCGATATTGTTTGAGATGTCGTATTTGAAGTACGTAATGGATGCTACAGCCTGTGACAGAAAATTGTCTATGCTGGTCCAGCTCTTCGCACAGCTCCGATATAACGGTACCTGCCTATATACGATATTTTGATGATTTTAGCTACATTATTCACCGTTTATTTCAAGTTTCGAATTTGAATATGCTAATGGCTTATGACAAACAATGCCTATGTAGGTCCACGTCCTATAGACCCCAATATAACGGCTATATTCAGTATTTTTAAAATTTTAACATAATTTTTAAAGGCTTTTATTTTTTGAAAATTTTCAAATTCGTTCCAAATGGTGGAGGGTATTCAAAGTTCGGCCCGGCCGAACTTACTGCTTTTTAACTTGTTATTATCATTACATGTAAATTAACTTCTTACAAGTGGATTCGATCAGAATATGATTGCATCCATCTTCTTTTCCTGTTCCAGTGCAATCGCTGGTCCAGGGTTGTACCGAGATATCCACTTTGCGTTTTCACGTGAATAAAAAAAAAAACATAAAAAATCAATACATCAAAATCTTCGAGAAATAGTTCTTAGCCTTGTAGTCGTAGTTTTTTAAGAGCCTTATCATTGCGAAAATTTGGCCCCTCCAAAAAAAAAGCGAATTATTCGCCCTTGTCCAGTGTTGAAGTATGTGTCATCCTTTTAAATTAGGTTGTAAACTTGGGAAAATTGTTCGTCAATTTTGAAACACCCTGTACCCTGGCAATGTGGTATATAAGTGTTATATTTAGCGAAGCTTTTATAGAGCTTCAGCTAAAGCTTTACTATTATTCTACAATAATCAGGGTAGACGATATTCACAAAAAATCACCATTTGGAATATAATTCGTGCAAAAACCAGTAAAGAAAGGTCAATAGTCGGGCAGGGCTTACTATATGATAACCTACACCACTATGCATATTTAGTAGAACAACAAAAAAAGTTTATATTGGGAATTTATGGGAAGTAGATCACACCAGCTATGAACCAAACCACATTGCTGTATAGTGCATAATATGTCTTCGATAAGGAATATATTTGAAAATATTTATTGGAGCCATAGATATACCGGATCGAGTTTCACCGAATGGTAAAATGTTTTTGAATAATAAAAATTCTACTCAATTTGGGCTGATATTGATATATATATGATATATGGTAAGCAATAACCTTAAAATCGGATGAAGATGTATATCGAGGCTATATAAAAAGCTATAGCTCCCATATATATGTTTCATCCGATCTGATCTTTAAGTCCCTCAATTGCGTAATATACACTCCACAACAATGACATTTGGTACCAGATATCTTATACAGCTTGAAAATACCTCTGCCAAATTTTATCAAGATCGGCTCAGTTTTGGATATAGCTCCCATATATATCCTTATTGCGATTTCAGGTTTATTTAATATCAGCGCAAATGGAGTGAATTTCGGACTTACGTTTCCATCGGCTCCGATATATATTTTTATACACCATACCACCTTAGTATGGAGGGTATATTAAGTTTGTCATTCCGTTTGTAACACCTCGAAATACACATTATAGACCCCACAAAGTATATATTCTTGATCAGAATAAAATGCTATGTCGATTTAACGATGTCCGTCCGTCTGTCCATCTATCCGTCTGTGAAAATCACTCTAGCTTCCGAACAAAATGAAGTAAGTTCATAAAATTTTTCTCAAATGTTCGCAAAACTCTTAATATTGAAAATGGGTGATGTAGGTCCACGTTTTGGTGTAGCCCTCATATAATGGTACCTCCCTTTTTTCGGAATTTTGGTGATTTAAGCAAAATGATTCACTAGAAATATTTCAAATTTGGTATTTGAAGTTCGTAATGGATTCTACAGTCTAAGACAGAAAATTGTCTGTGCAGGTCCACATCTTCGTATAGACCCCATATATCAGTACCTCCCTATATTCGGTATTTTTATGATTTCGGCGACATTATTCACCGGAATTATTTCAAATTTGGTATTTGAAGTTCGCAACAAATGATACAGCCTAAGACAGAAAATTGTCTGTGCAAGTCCACGTCTTCGTGTAGCCCCCATATCATGGTACCTCCCAATTTGCGGTATTTTAATGATTTAAGCGACATTATTTACCGGAAATGTTTCAAAGTTGGCATTTGAACTTCGCAATGGAGACTACAGCCTATGACTGAAAATTGTCTGTGCAGGTCTACGCCTTCGTATAGCCCCCATATAACGGAACCTCCCGATATTCGGTATGTTGATGATATTAGTGATATTATTCAACGGAATAGTTTCAAATTTGGTATTTAAAGTTCGCAACGGATGATACAGCCTACGCCAGAAAATTGTCTGTGGAGGTCCACGCCTTCGTATAGGCCCCATATATCAATACCTCCCTATATTCGGTATTTTTATGATTTCGGCGACATTATTCAACGGAAATGATTTAAATTTGGTATTTGAAGTTCGTAATGGATACTACAGCCTATGACAGAAAATTGTCTGTGCAGGTCCACGTCTTCGTATATAAAAAGGCTATATTCGGCATTTTTAAAATTTAAACAGAATTTTTTAAGGATTTTATTTTTTGAAAATTTCCAAATGGTGGAGGGTATTCAAAGTTCGGCCCGGCCGAACTTGTTTTAATATAACCCTTCTCGAAGTGATATCATGCAATTTTTAGCTATGTTAAGATAAAAATTTCTCCGTTAAGTTTCTTTAATATCGATTCAGAATTGGATATGCCTCCCATATAATAGGTCCCTCTGAAACTAAATTATAACTGCTCTAAGGCCAAAGGTTGATAGGTGGTATAATCTACTTCTAATAAATTATTTTTATCTACTATATATATATATATATATATATATATATATATATATATATATATATATATATATATATATATATATATATATATATATATATATATATTTATATATATATATATATATATATATATAGTAGTGTGGGGTATCATATAGTCGGCGCGACGCTAGACTTTTGACTTTTCCTTACTGATTTTAGGTCTATTTTCATAATCTGCTGGATTTCCCCTGAACGTATTTGAAAAATTGAATTTTTGCTAATTATTGCTGGTGCGAAAACAATTTATTTGATAGGAAGATAATTAGCCGGGAGGCAAGGGGTGCCAAAGCTTCGACCCCACCAAACTTCATGTCACGGTCTTTGCTAGTGCCGTAATATCGATTCTTCCAACAGCCGTCGAACAGATAACTTGTGCTAGGTGCTAAATTGGTTTCAATGAAATGTAATAACAAAATATACAACTACTACAACTATTTCTCCCTCTCTCCTACTCTTTCTCTCTCTCTCACCCACTCCCTTACAGGTAAGGCATAATGCCACTTATTCTCTGTTACTCATTCAATGGAACTTCGAAAACGTGGCTCTCTGATAACACTCTGGACTCATTTAGTCATAGCCGGCTGCTAAACATTATTCCACCGACCTGAATGCCTGCCAACAATGGATTTCAGTTAAAATTTGTCTTGCAAAGCGTTAACAACGGCTAACGGTATTATTAAGCCATAGAAACAAAAACATTATTTGTATTTATTGTTGTCATAATTTAACAGCATATTGATAAGAGGAAATAATTGATAAAAAAAAGAAATAGAGCAACGGAAAAAATGTATTTGCTTAAGGGAATTGGATCATACGGATGTGTGGGAGTACTTTTGGTATTTGCCCTGATGACACCCAGTGAGGGAGGTAAGTTGTAATACGCTGTTCTAGTTGTTTTCATTATTATTTTAATTTAATAATATATTTTTTTTTAATTACTTTCAGCCATTAAATGTCTCCAGTGTGATTCGAAAGCCAATGCAGATTGCTCGGATAATACTAAAATAACAGCCAGCGATTGTGCCGATACCCTTGCCGATGCCACCGAATGTTTTGTTAGCAATGGTATGTATTTAGGACCGTTTGTCTCAAATTGAAATTTTTAAAAAATCCACGCCTTAGGACCATTTGTCTTAAATTGACATTTTTAAATAATGCACGCACCTTTGGCTTAGATTGATTTTTTTTTTTTAATCTACGCACCTTTGTCTTAAATTGAAATTTTTAAAAAATCTACGCCATTTGGCTTACACTGAAATTTTTAAAAAATTCACGCCCCTTTGTCTTAAATTGAAATTTTTAAAAAAATCCACGCCTTAGGACCCTTTGTCTTAAATTGACATTTAAAAAAAAATCCACGCCTTAAGACCCTTTTTTCTTGAATTTAAATTTTTAAAAAATCCATGCCTTAGGGAAACGAAAAGAGAAAATCCTTCTCCGAACCTCAAAAAGGACGTCCACCAAAGCTCAATAATACATAGAGAAGAACGGAAAATTCAAGCCATTATAAAAAAAGATTCCGGGAAAACATTCTTTTGGGGAGCGGATCTAGATACCCGGAAATTTCACCCAAAAGACCGGTTCCAATCCAAAGCTAAAGAACATACCTATCAAACAAGTAGTCACATGATACGATTCGGTAGTTGTATCAAAATTACAGATTTTCTGGACCCGGATTAAAAAAAAAAAAAAAAAACAATCCTCCAAAAGACGAAAAAGTCCCCATTTTGGAAGTCCACACAAATCAGGCCAAATTATAGTTGTCACTATAATCCCTCCAAAATACCACAATGTGTTTCATTATCTTTTTGAGTCTTTGAGTTAGGTCCGGTTGAGTTTGAGAGAAATATCCGGGTATACGGATCCGTCCACAAAGAAAATAATACCTTCCCGAAATCAGAGCAAAAATAAATTCCGCTGGAAAAATGTTTAAAAAAATCAATAATTTTTACTAAACTAAAGCTGTTACAAAATTTGCACCCTGACATAACTTATTTGAATTTAGAAAAAAAAAATGGAAACAACTCTACTCTTATTCCACAATCTTCTTATCGGAACCGATCTCGATAAAATTTAGCAAAGGTATTTCTGAGCTGTATCTGATATATTTCCCCAAATATTGTTGTTACAGAGTGCATATTACGGCTGCGGAGGACTTAAATAACAAATCGGATGAACAATATATATTGGAGCTATAGCTATATCTGAACCGATTCAAATTTGGCATACTTATTATAAGGCCTAATTTGGTTGTATGTGCAAAATTCCATACTATTCGGGCAGATATAACACGTTTGGTGCAAAATAAAAAGCAAATCGGACGAAGATATATATATATATATATATATATGGAAGCTATATCTAATTTTTTCCGATTATCTCCAATTTCAATAAGTTTCGTCCTTGGGCCAAACAAATGATTTGTGCAAAATTTCTTCTGGATCGGGTAATAAATGCGAACTGTACTTTGTTCATAAAAATTCATGGACAGACGGACGGACGGACGGACGGATATGCATAAATCGACTCAGAATGTGATTCTATGCAGGTCATCAAAAGGAACTATGGGTCTATCTCATTTCCTTTTGCCTGTTACAAACAAATGCACAAAGACAAATAAAAAAGCGGCTAAGTTTGGCCGGGCCGAACTGTAAATACCCTCCACCATTTGAAAGGAACTTGAAGATTTTTAAAAGAAATTCCGAAAACTAATTGAATGCCCTTATATAGGGTCTATATGAAGAAGTGAACCTGCTTTCTAAATTTTTTTGTAATATGCTGTAGTACCCATTGCGAACTTCAAATACCAAATTTGAAACAGTTCCAATGAAAAATGTCGCTAAAATCAATAAAATATATGGAATGTCGGGTGGTATCGTCATATGGGACCTTATACGAAGACCTACATAAGAATTTTTTTGCCATAGGTTGTAGTACCCATCACGAACTTCAAATATGAAATGTAAAATAATTCCGGTAAATAATGTCGCTGAAATCATGAAAATATCGAATATCGGGAGGTACCGTTACATGGGGGCTATACGAAAACATGGCCCATTTACGAAGCGTTATATGGTGGATGTACGATATCGTAGACCTAAACAATTCTCTCCCATACGGTGAAGTACTCCGAAAGAACTTCTTGTGTGGATTTTCAGACAATTCCAGAATTCAGAAAATGTCGCTAAAATCATCAAAATACCGAATATTGGGGGGAATCTTTGCATGGGGGCTATACGATATCGTGGACCTATATAAACAATTCTCTTCCAGAGGGTAGAGAAGAAACTCCTTGTGTGGATTTTCAGACAAGTCCATTGGAAAATGTGGCTAAAATGATCAAAATACCGAATATCGGAGATACGGTTGTATGGGGGCTATACGATATCGTAGACCTATATAGACAATACTCTTCCAAGGGATAAAGTTCTCACAAGGAATTCCTTGTGTGGATTTTCAGACCATTCCATTGGAAAATGTGGCTAAAATCATCAAATTAGCGAATATCGGGGGGTAACTTTATATGGGGGATATACGATATCGTGGACCTATATAGACAATTCTCTTAAAGGTGGTTAAGTACTCACAAGGGCCTCCTTGTATGGAATTTCAAACAATTCCATTGAAAAGTGTGGCTAAAATCATCAAAATACCGAAAATGGAGGGTACTGTCATATTGGGGCTATACGATATTGTGGACCTATATGGACAATTCTCTTAAAGGGGGTTAAGTACTCATAAGGGACTCCTTGTGTAGAATTTCAAACAAATCCCAATAGCCCATCTTCGAACTTGACCTGCCTGCAGACAAAAAAATGTTTGCTTCCTATCTTAATTCGTTTTTTATTACAACAGACGGGCGGACGTACAGGGCTAAATCGTCTTCGAATTTTACGCTGATCAAGAATATATATACTTTGTTGGGTCTAAAATGATTATTTCGATAAGTTACAAACGAAATGAGGAACTTAATATACCCTCCATACTATGTATGGTGGAGGGTATAAAACGAAATGTGTAGTTCAAGTGGGCGAACATTAAAGAGCAACAGATTCAGTGATAGATTAGAGTGAGAGAGAGAGAGAGGAAGACATAGATGGAGTTTAATTTAATGAGAGGTATTAAAATAAGATAGTGAGATAAAAGAATAAAATAATTTGTGATTTTTTGTTGGGTGAAATGTGTAAAGAGAGAAAGGCATGAGGTAAGGTTAGGACTCTATGCACCGCCAAAAATCTTATACACATCAGTTTGTAGGTATCATGTTTCATCTCGCTATCTAACTCAAACATACCACATGTAGCTACGAAAAATGCTATTTTATTAATTTTTAATGTGGACTGTATTTTTACAAAAAAAAAAAAACTCTCTTTTCAGCGGTAGGTAGTCCCGCTATTCTCTATTTTATTATAAAAACATATTTGCTATTTTTCGAAAATATTATTTTTAAATTTTAGTCATATTTTCCCTTTAATGTCACCAAATTTTGGTATTTTTGAGTTCTTATTATGTTGAAAAGTTACCACCATACAGGGATCAATATGGGTCCAATGGCCAATGGCCCTTTTCTAAACATGCCACCTGTTTTAAGTTATTGCGTGGTTTCTTATTATATATCAGAAAAATTTATTTTTTCAATTTTGTTGTCATTTCTTTTTTTTTTTTTTCTCCTGTATTAATGACTCACTTTGGTTTACTGTTAGGAAATAATTATTTACAGCTGGGATCTTCGACAAGTTTTTTGTCAATTCAAATTTATCAAGCCAACACTGATAACTCTGTCCTTCACACAGCTGGAATATCGAAGAATATGAACTAATCTTATCAATTATCCAAAATTCAAGCAATGCCTTCGCTTGATTTAGTACCTTAAATTTTCCGTGGCACCTGTCTACTCTGATGCATACATTCATATCAAAATTGATTAGTTGTGAAATATATACATTGGGAAATTCTTGGCGACAAATATTTGGCATTTGGAGATTCTAGAAATTAATCAGGAATTTTAGAATGATATTCTAGTCAATAATAGAAAAATCTTTTGAAATATTGAAAATATGTTTGGTATTGATGTTCTTCAAGCATGAGATCAATTATTTATTTTTTTCTAAATTTATATTTTATTCATTAAAATTTATTTGTTATAGACTAGGACAATTTGTTTTTTTTTTTTGTTTGTTTGGTTAAGCGAATAACAAGTTTCTACGCACTAAAATATAGACTTTTATAGTTTTTTTTTAAATTCGATCTTCCAATTTTAAATTGTGACACGAAAAAAGTTTTCCCAATTGTACAAGTGAGAAAAGAAACCCAATTCTTTGCTCTGAATGTTGATCCGATTCTCGATGAGACTCGAAGGACCAATATCCAAGTGAGAAATAAAACACAACAATATGATCCGGAAGTAGTTTCAGATTCAACTCGAAGGACCAATGTTCAAATTCACGCCTTTAAATTGAATTGTTAATTCGAGGAATTTGATTGTTGATTCCATTCTGGATCCGGGTCGAAGGACCAATTGTGTAAATGAGAAAAGAAATGGCAATTTTTTTTATTTCAAAATTTGCTTTTCTTAAGTAATACAAAAACAAGTAAAATATGATCAGTCGGTTTTGCCTACAGATGTACAGGGTGAGATGAAAAAACTGCAATCAACTTCAGACTGCTGTCATTTCTAAGCCACTCGTCCGACAGCTGTTAAAATTATTCCAGTGACGTTATCGAAAACAACAATTGGCTATCGTTAGAGCACTCCAGCATTTAAATGTGAATAAATGTTTTGTGTCTCGTACCATCGCTCGTTACCGTGATACTGATAGCGTATCCCGACGTCAAGGGAGTGGACGGAAGAAAACAGCTACATCAGCAGAAATGGTTCGAAAAGTCAAGAAGCGACTCGATCGAAACCCGCTTCGCAGTGGCCGAAAAATGTCTCGCTCGAGCTGAACATATCGCAATATTCCATTCGACAAATATTGAAAAATGAGCTCGGAGTAAGCCATTGAAATTCCAAAAAGTGCAAGAATTTACACCGCAAGAAACAAAAATAGACTCAAAAGAGCTAA